TTGTGGGGGTGGAGGCACGCACTACCAAGTGCTCGCCGCGAAGAGAGGAACAAAGGTAAACCCGCCCGACCCTATCATTGCTTGACTTCCACGAGTGTGTTTGTACGTGCTCTTTAAAGAGGGCTGCAGGCTGGCCACCTTGCAGCCCTTTGATGTAATGTGGTGTTTGCTTGTGAATGCCTCAAGGTAACTAGTGGGTTGACGCGGTATTGGAGAGTTGTGGGTGTGCGGGGGAGGGAGGGGGGGTTCTTGACCCGAGCGGGGAGAAGAAGAAGGAGTTTGTGGGGGTGGAGGCACGAACTACCAAGTGCTCGCCGCGAAGAGAGGAACAAAGGTAAACCCGCCCGACCCTATCATTGCTGACTTCCACGAGTGTGTTTGTACGTGCTCTTTATAGAGGGCTGCAGGCTGGCCACCTTGCAGCCCTTTGATGTAATGTGGTGTTTGCTTGTGAATGCCTCAAGGTAACTAGTGGGTTGACGCGGTATTGGAGAGTTGTGGGTGTGTGGGGGAGGGAGGGGGAGTTCTTGACCCGAGCGGGGAGAAGAAGAAGGAGTTTGTGGGGGTGGAGGCACGCACTACCAAGTGCTCGCCGCGAAGAGAGGAACAAAGGTAAACCCGCCCGACCCTATCATTGCTTGACTTCCACAGGTGTGTTTGTACGTGCTCTTTAAAGAGGGCTGCAGGCTGGCCACCTTGCAGCCCTTTGATTTAATGTGGCGTTTGCTTGTGAATGCCTCAAGGTAACTAGTGGGTTGACGCGGTATTGGAGAGTTGTGGGTGTGTGGGGGAGGGAGGGGGGGTTCTTGACCCGAGCGGGGAGAAGAAGAAGGAGTTTGTGGGGGTGGAGGCACGCACTACCAAGTGCTCGCCGCGAAGAGAGGAACAAAGGTAAACCCGCCCGACCCTATCATTGCTTGACTTCCACGAGTGTGTTTGTACGTGCTCTTTAAAGAGGGCTGCAGGCTGGCCACCTTGCAGCCCTTTGATGTAATGTGGCGTTTGCTTGTGAATGCCTCAAGGTAACTAGTGGGTTGACGCGGTATTGGGGAGTTGTGGGTGTGTGGGGGAGGGAGGGGGGGTTCTTGACCCGAGCGGGGAGAAGAAGAAGGAGTTTGTGGGGGTGGAGGCACGCACTACCAAGTGCTCGCCACGAAGAGAGGAACAAAGGTAAACCCGCCCGACCCTATCATTGCTGACTTCCACGAGTGTGTTTGTACGTGCTCTTTAAAGAGGGCTGCAGGCTGGCCACCTTGCAGCCCTTTGATGTAATGTGGCGTTTGCTTGTGAATGCCTCAAGGTAACTAGTGGGTTGACGCGGTATTGGAGAGTTGTGGGTGTGTGGGGGAGGGAGGGGGGGTTCTTGACCCGAGCGGGGAGAAGAAGAAGGAGTTTGTGGGGGTGGAGGCACGCACTACCAAGTGCTCGCCGCGAAGAGAGGAACAAAGGTAAACCCGCCCGACCCTATCATTGCTTGACTTCCACGAGTGTGTTTGTACGTGCTCTTTAAAGAGGGCTGCAGGCTGGCCACCTTGCAGCCCTTTGATGTAATGTGGCGTTTGCTTGTGAATGCCTCAAGGTAACTAGTGGGTTGACGCGGTATTGGGGAGTTGTGGGTGTGTGGGGGAGGGAGGGGGGGTTCTTGACCCGAGCGGGGAGAAGAAGGAGTTTGTGGGGGTGGAGGCACGCACTACCAAGTGCTCGCCACGAAGAGAGGAACAAAGGAAAACCCGCCCGACCCGATCATTGCTGGACTTCCACGAGTGTGTCTGTACGTGCTCTTTAAAGAGGGCTGCAGGCTGGCCACCTTGCAGCCCTTTGATTTAATGTGGCGTTTGCTTGTGAATGCCTCAAGGTAACTAGTGGGTTGACGCGGTATTGGAGAGTTGTGGGTGTGTGGGGGAGGGAGGGGGAGTTCTTGACCCGAGCGGGGAGAAGAAGAAGGAGTTTGTGGGGGTGGAGGCACGCACTACCAAGTGCTCGCCACGAAGAGAGGAACAAAGGTAAACCCGCCCGACCCTATCATTGCTTGACTTCCACGAGTGTGTTTGTACGTGCTCTTTAAAGAGGGCTGCAGGCTGGCCACCTTGCAGCCCTTTGATGTAATGTGGCGTTTGCTTGTGAATGCCTCAAGGTAACTAGTGGGTTGACGCGGTATTGGGGAGTTGTGGGTGTGTGGGGGAGGGAGGGGGGGTTCTTGACCCGAGCGGGGAGAAGAAGGAGTTTGTGGGGGTGGAGGCACGCACTACCAAGTGCTCGCCACGAAGAGAGGAACAAAGGTAAACCCGCCCGACCCTATCATTGCTTGACTTCCACGAGTGTGTTTGTACGTGCTCTTTAAAGAGGGCTGCAGGCTGGCCACCTTGCAGCCCTTTGATTTAATGTGGCGTTTGCTTGTGAATGCCTCAAGGTAACTAGTGGGTTGACGCGGTATTGGAGAGTTGTGGGTGTGTGGGGGAGGGAGGGGGAGTTCTTGACCCGAGCGGGGAGAAGAAGAAGGAGTTTGGGGGGTGGAGGCACGCACTACCAAGTGCTCGCCACGAAGAGAGGAACAAAGGTAAACCCGCCCGACCCTATCATTGCTTGACTTCCACGAGTGTGTTTGTACGTGCTCTTTAAAGAGGGCTGCAGGCTGGCCACCTTGCAGCCCTTTGATGTAATGTGGCGTTTGCTTGTGAATGCCTCAAGGTAACTAGTGGGTTGACGCGGTATTGGAGAGTTGTGGGTGTGTGGGGGAGGGAGGGGGGGTTCTTGACCCGAGCGGGGAGAAGAAGAAGGAGTTTGTGGGGGTGGAGGCACGCACTACCAAGTGCTCACCACGAAGAAAGAAACAAAGGTAAACCCGCCCGACCCTATCATTGCTGACTTCCACGAGTGTGTTTGTACGTGCTCTTTAAAGAGGGCTGCAGGCTGGCCACCTTGCAGCCCTTTGATGTAATGTGGCGTTTGCTTGTGAATGCCTCAAGGTAACTAGTGGGTTGACGCGGTATTGGGGAGTTGTGGGTGTGTGGGGGAGGGAGGGGGGGTTCTTGACCCGAGCGGGGAGAAGAAGAAGGAGTTTGTGGGGGTGGAGGCACGCACTACCAAGTGCTCGCCACGAAGAGAGGAACAAAGGTAAACCCGCCCGACCCTATCATTGCTTGACTTCCACGAGTGTGTTTGTACGTGCTCTTTAAAGAGGGCTGCAGGCTGGCCACCTTGCAGCCCTTTGATGTAATGTGGCGTTTGCTTGTGAATGCCTCAAGGTAACTAGTGGGTTGACGCGGTATTGGAGAGTTGTGGGTGTGTGGGGGAGGGAGGGGGGGTTCTTGACCCGAGCGGGGAGAAGAAGAAGGAGTTTGTGGGGGTGGAGGCACGCACTACCAAGTGCTCGCCGCGAAGAGAGGAACAAAGGTAAACCCGCCCGACCCTATCATTGCTTGACTTCCACGAGTGTGTTTGTACGTGCTCTTTAAAGAGGGCTGCAGGCTGGCCACCTTGCAGCCCTTTGATGTAATGTGGCGTTTGCTTGTGAATGCCTCAAGGTAACTAGTGGGTTGACGCGGTATTGGAGAGTTGTGGGTGTGTGGGGGAGGGAGGGGGGGTTCTTGACCCGAGCGGGGAGAAGAAGAAGGAGTTTGGGGGGTGGAGGCACGCACTACCAAGTGCTCGCCGCGAAGAGAGGAACAAAGGTAAACCCGCCCGACCCTATCATTGCTTGACTTCCACGAGTGTGTTTGTACGTGCTCTTTAAAGAGGGCTGCAGGCTGGCCACCTTGCAGCCCTTTGATGTAATGTGGTGTTTGCTTGTGAATGCCTCAAGGTAACTAGTGGGTTGACGCGGTATTGGAGAGTTGTGGGTGTGTGGGGGAGGGAGGGGGGGTTCTTGACCCGAGCGGGGAGAAGAAGAAGGAGTTTGTGGGGGTGGAGGCACGCACTACCAAGTGCTCGCCACGAAGAGAGGAACAAAGGTAAACCCGCCCGACCCTATCATTGCTTGACTTCCACGAGTGTGTTTGTACGTGCTCTTTAAAGAGGGCTGCAGGCTGGCCACCTTGCAGCCCTTTGATGTAATGTGGCGTTTGCTTGTGAATGCCTCAAGGTAACTAGTGGGTTGACGCGGTATTGGGGAGTTGTGGGTGTGTGGGGGAGGGAGGGGGGGTTCTTGACCCGAGCGGGGAGAAGAAGAAGGAGTTTGTGGGGGTGGAGGCACGCACTACCAAGTGCTCGCCGCGAAGAGAGGAACACAGGTAAACCCGCCCGACCCTATCATTGTTGACTTCCACGAGTGTGTTTGTACGTGCTCTTTAAAGAGGGCTGCAGGCTGGCCACCTTGCAGCCCTTTGATGTAATGTGGTGTTTGCTTGTGACTGCCTCAAGGTAACTAGTGGGTTGACGCGGTATCGGGGAGTTGTGGGTGTGGGGAGAAAGGGAGCGCACTTGACTGAGAAGGAAGAAGAAGCATGGTGGATTGAGTAGGACACCTCGGAGTTTTAGCCCAAACGGTGAGCGTGCCATGCCTTGCACTGTGGCATCACTCTTGTCGGTTTGTTTGTGTATGATTCAATGGGATTGGTTCTTCTTTGTATGTGTTTGTTTTGCGGGCTGTTATCCCGGGGAGGTTTCGCATGGCCTTTTTGCTTTTGTCGTACGCGGTGTGATCATCTCACTCGCCCGCTTGAGCCTTGAGGATGTGTATAAGGAAGCTAGCTTGTATTGTTGCTAACCACGCACTTGGCTGGGGGTTGGAGTGGCTTTGTGTAGACTTGCCGAGTACAATACTGGAGGTAGGTATGAAATTCATGCTATTTGAAATTTGTTGATTGCCTGCTGCTTGGTGTTGATCTTGATATATCACAAAAACAAAGGGTGGCCGATGTAATAAGGCAGCTTTACCTTTTGTAAAGATGTCGAGAGTAAGTCTGGGTGTCAGACTCCGGTCATCGAATCTGGCTTAGTTCTCTAAGTGTCAGACTCTGGCTGTTGAATCTGGCCTAGCAGTGCACGAGCCACCAATAATTTCGCCCATAGCTCAGTTGGATAGAGCCCTCACACAATGTGCGAGAGGTCCCGAGTTCGACTCTCGGTGGGCGACGAAAATCATCTAAATAACTAAGAAAGATTCTATTTGCTTGCGATGACTATGATTAAGGACGGGAGGAAAGTGTTGTTTGGATTGTGGCATCTCTTGAGTGGCGGAGAGCGCGAACTGCGGCATCTCCTAAGCAGCAGAGAGCGGCGCACTGTGGGGTCAACGAAGTGAAAAAGTCTGAAGATTTTTTTGGTTGGCGCCTGTAACTGAATACGGAAATTTCGCGTTCGAGATCTGATTGACAATTCCGACAGTGACAACCAGTCGAAAAGTTTGAGACTGTGGACAGATATTCGACAGAATGACTGTGGGCACAGATTTGGCAGAATGACTGCGGGCAGAATGCGGCGGTTGTTAAATAGCAAGAGAGAGAGACCCGATTGCCGAGGCTTTTCTACGAGCCGTGTAACTCTAACCTAATATTTTGTGTAACTTTTATAAAATACTTTGTTGTATTGTGACTTTGCCACAATTAAAAAATCGAAATGCTAGCCGGCTCTACGACTTCCATCTTCAATTTGGACGGGCAGGTCGACGTCACGCTACTCGATGCTGCACTCGCACTGGTCCAGCTGCAACCTTCGCTGAGTAGGTCAATGGTAACTACTGCTCAGGAGGCTCTACACAGCCTCAATACTATCCGGGAACCGAGACACGGCCTGAGGTTGTACCGGCTGCCTTGTTGGACCCGTGGTATACAACCGCTTACTTTCTGCATGGCCCGGAGGTTTGTCCTCATCTTGAGAAGCAGTCCCCACTCCTCATCCACATCTTGGAGGAGGTACTGACCGTATTTTTGGGATCTGGTCAGCGGGATGTTTTTGGCGCTACCTAGCGACACTTGCCTCGGGAAAGAATCGAACGAATTTTGTGGCGTCAACAGCTGTACGGTAGCCCTGCTAAAAAAACCTGAGCCCTCCTCATTTGACACCTGCGGGCGGACCGCTTGCGGGCGGAACCGGATCTCTTTTCATGTGGCCCGCAACAACATCAGCGACCGCCCCCGCGCCAACATTTGCACCTTGGGATGCGGACTACCTTACATGCCCGTCTCTGGGTGTGACGTGACAAAGCAGCGTTATGGACGCTGTTGCGGGTGTCAGTACAGTACCCATCTCACGCGCCTCAACAAGCTGTTCGACAAGGGCAAGTACGTTTTCATTCCTGGAGAGCGCACTACCAGTGTCTGCAAACCTGCACGCCCGTCATCGGGGCGGCTCCTTACGACCCAGCAGCGACATCCGGCACTGCGGTCCGCGATGTGGAGAACACCGAGTTCCGTGAGATTCTCTCATCCGAGGTCGCCCGTTCCGTGCGGGAGCCAGGTGCGCAGCAAGGTAACTTCGGCTTCGACTACCTCGTGAGCCTCCAAACACCTCTTCCTGATGTGGCTAGCTATGTATCTGGTGCTATCGACGGCGTCAGCCCGACGGACCCTTTCAGCCCCTCTCATCTGGGCTGGGAGCGGTACGTCAACTACTCTGGGAACAGCACGGCTTCTCACTGTAAGAAGCAGATGATGAGAGTGATGTTCGTCAACACCCTGGGCGAAAGCTCGGAGTTTGAACACACTCCCTTGTGCCAGTCCGTCACCGATCTCATCCAGGACGGGTCCACGCTGAAAGTCAAGGACAACGTGCACTTCCCTTCGTACGAGAGGTTCACCACATGGTGCCGAAAGCTCGGGGAGTCGTATACGCTTGTGAGTGACAGTGGCGTCAGTCCCTATTGTCCAGGACACCCCCATCGTGAGTACCTCCATCGGTCTGCCACTTTGGTCATTACTCGTTTCGAGTTTCTGATCGAGATGGTGGATTATATGCGAGCCGAGTGGCCGACCCTGAGGTTCGAGGCAGCCTACCTGTTGCTGATCACGCATTACATCTCGGCACGCTGGGCTAATAAGCAGCCATTCTCAGACACATTCCTGGAGGACCGTGAATTCTTGCGGTTGGGAGCATCTCGTGCTTGGGGAACGAGCCGGAGAGAAATTATCCGGCAGTACGTGGTGGATTATTTCCCTCACACGGCACTTCAACGGTTGCTGTCACGAGTGAACGCCACGTTTCAGCCGGAGGTCTCCCTGAACTTTCATGCTCTGCCCCCAGGGTCCGTCGACGGACGTGCTCAGCCAGCTCCTCCGGTGCTCGACACGCCCCCTCGACATCTTCGACACGGCCTCGGGGACCTCACTCTTGCCCACTCTGTGGTGGCGATGATCCGTATCGTGTGGACTTTTACGAACACACCGGTCCGATCACGAAGCCGTGCAAAAAAGTGAAGACTCTCTGAGGGGTCGGCAAACAACATTCATCAGGTAGCGCCATTATACCGACCGGGACGTCACACTCTGTTTGTGTCGAAGTGTCACCTTGCATCGAGGTCGACACTCGGACATCTGTTGTTGACAACGTGACTGCTGGCAGCTTTGGCTCATAGAGCACCTGACCCGACTCGGCTTCGGCATCTCCGGCAACCTCCTGTGATGATGTTGTGCAGCCTGACCATCGACTTCACATGTTGAAGCTCATTTTACGTGAGCTTCAGTACTGGTATCCTACGGGCTGCCCGATACCCGCCAGTGCAGAAGGCCTGGATCCTTACAGGGACATTGCCCAGGTATTTAAGGCGCAGCTTATGGAGCTGGGGCCCACTTTCCATGGTGGCCAGCCTCCCTCTCTGCAGCAGCCCAACACATCGAAGACCGCCTCTCTTGGCAGCGGCTTTGGGTAAAGGGTGTCCGCAAGAGCTTCTTGGTGGTATATACCACCGATGGCAGACACCGACTCCTGGTTCTAAAGGTGCCCCCTCGGAAGTTTGGCGGTGAGGCCAGCCGTTGGGATCATGCACACCGTCAGATGACCTTCATGGACACGGCGGACGGGCTGTGTGCACCTGGTGTACGGTACACCGAGGAACTCTTCAAGTGGTTCAGACCAGGAGAGGAGGAACTCGAGGATGGCTGCCGGCATGGGCACAAGATGTCCTTTGTGAACAAGCCTCCTGGTTACCGAAGGGGCAACCACCCCAGTTGCTATGACCAAACGGAGGTGGACCTCTTACGGTCTGTGGGGAAGGGAGTCCTCGAAGGGCCGTTGCATTACGAGCCTTGGAGTGTGACGCCATTGGGCTCCATCTACCAGCCAGAGAAAGACAAATTCCGGAACATCTGGAATACTCGTGTTTCTCGGGTGAACGAGTCCATGGAGCCTCGGCGGAGTATGATTACCTGGAGGACATCCTCAGGCTCCAAAGGCCTGCTTGCTCGCAGGATGGTTGAGAATTGAGCGATGCCTTCTGGAACAACCCGAGGTATCAGCCGCACTGTGACTACATGGGTGTTATGACACCGGTGTCTCGTGAGTTCTACAGAGCCAAATTCGACATGTTTGGTTTCTGTGATGCCCCGAAGCACCAGGCTGAGATGGCCACGGTCTTCAAGCGCATGCTGAACGGTACTGTACACCGTGATGGTCGTTCTATGTGTGCTGGCATCTTTGTCGATGACGGTCACTCGGTGGCAGACTCCGAGCTCAGTCTCCTAGAGGCCACCCGCCGGACACAAGGAGAGATCGAGCAGCTGGAGAACATCGGAGTACGAGTCTCGGCACACAAGTCCCAGTGGCCTGCAAAGGTCAAGGATTACATTGGCCGTGAGATCGACTCCGTGAGGCAGTTGGTGAGAGCATCCGAGGCTCGAGTGCGCAAGTATGTAACACGGGCCGAGGGCATGTTGGCACGGTGGCCAGTGGGCACTCCGGTCCCTCGTCGTGAGCTGGCGGCAGTAGTCGGGAAGTTCCAGTTCCTGGCACCTCTCATTCCTGGTGGCCAGAACATGCTCACCCCGTTGTATCGGGCTCGGGACCAGTTCACAGACCCCTCTACCCACAGCTGACCCGTGGCAGAGCAGTGGGACGATGGGGTTACTGTGAGTTTGAGCTCGGCTACCAGGAAGGCTGTGGCCCGCTTTTGTCGCTGTCCTAACGAGAGAGGCCGACCCGACGGAACTATATCGAGGACACCCCCAAGCTCTCGGGTTGGTGGACCGGGAAGCACTCTGGCACTCGGGAGTACCTCACTACGCATCGGTGCACCCCCGAGGGCAGCCCCGCTCCGACCATGGATGCATCGGGCTGGCAAGGGGGCATTGCTTACCGTGACCGGCGGCACATCCTGTCCTTCCCCCCGGAGGAGTGTGCTCCTTATAAGAACTCTAACTTTCACGAGGCTAGCACGGCCGCCTGGGCTGTGGAGATCCTGGGGCCAGACATGCTGGGGTCACGGGTTCTGCTCCGGACGGACAACTCCACTACCATAAGCATTGTGAACCGGCAGATACTATGTCACCTGAGTGGAGCTCGTGGTGGAAAGGATGTTCCGAGCTGCGTCCAGATACGGCCTGGATTTGGCAGCCGAGCACATTCCCGGTGTCGAGAACGGCTTGTCCGACTGACTTTTCCGGTTTGTCAGGAAGAAGGACTACTCAGATTGGCAGTACCGGGCCGATGAGTTCAGTACCTTGTCTCGGCTGGTAGGGCATGACTTCACTTTGGACGAAGGAGCAGACCCCGTCGGTACTAATGCTTACGTGCAGAGGATCCGTTCGGTGGTGGACAGCTTCCTGGACCGGGATGTTCGGGGGGAGCACGTTTATGCGAACCCGGATTTCACCCTGATTGGAGAGTATCTCGCACACTTCCAGGCCTGTCAGCAGAGGGCGCCTCAGTCTACCTCGGGTACCTTCGTGCTGCCGGTGTGGGACACCTTCGAGTGGTGGCCCCTGCTGAAGGGGGCTCGGGTGCTTAAGTACTATCCTGAGGGCTCTCACCTGTTCACCTCACCGGAGTGGAGGCATCTGGGCCGTGACGATGGCACCTATGGGTTTGGGGACGAGCGTGCCTTTCGAGGCCCAACTCAGTGGCCGGTGGTTGTGGTGTATTACCCCCCTACCCTGTGCAGCAGGAGCGGTGTTGCGGCAGCTCAGGCGCCACGTGGAGCTGGTC